ATTTTTTAGTTTAACTCTAGCTGCCGCATATGCCTGAAGAACCAGAAAGGAGATGTGAAGCACTGTCGTGTGTCCGTCCTCAGTGGTGTCGAGGAACCTTTCTCTCTTAGGCTTTGGTAGGAGTGAACCCTTGCTGTTTCCCTCCAAGATGTACTCTCCCACCCATTCTGTCAGTTGGGACTCAAAGGGAGGTCCTTCCGTTGGGACTGATGGGAGGGGGGTGAGTGTGTGCAGATGAGGGGAACAACACGTTCCTCTACCTAACCTTTCGACTTCGAATCCTTCAACAGGGTTTTCATCGACTGGGCCTAAGATAGAGACACCTTGGATTACCGCACTTTCCTGTCCCCCAGTGTTGTTGTGCTTTTCCCTGGTCTGCGGGTGCTTTCTCTTGGTTTTTTCCCTTTGGTTTTCGCACCCGCCAACTGGGCAGAGGGAGAATCCTTCTCAGAATCATGCGAGGGTTCTAAATCGACTCTACCCTCTTTCTCAGACTCAGACAGATCCCCTGGACAGTCAACAAAGTCCTCATCCCCTGAACTCGGCGTTTTCTTCATACTCGGGGGAGGGATGGGGGTGGGGTAACTATCGGGGATTCCTCCCTCCTTTTGTTATCCCGAGGCCCCGCCCTCTGCGACTTGTTGCCTCCTGCATCCCCGTTTACAATCCGCCTCCTTTTTTCTTATGCAAGGGGGGGAGTGTCCGAGTCTTCATCGTCCTCGTCTTCCTCCTCACTCTCCTCCTCGGAATCCTTGTCCTCTTCGTCTGAGGACTTCACATAGGATCCGAAGAGGAGGGATGGAGGGAGGGGAAGTGGAGATTTGGACCCTTCCTCCCTTTCTTTAAACAGAATCAGAGCCTTGCCTGCTCTGATTGCCTCGTCATCTTCCCACAACTGTTCTTCCTTTTTTCTCTTTTCCCTTACCAATAATCGATCCTGGTCCATGTCTGTTGGATTATTACTATTCTTCTTTTGGCTTTCACTACTCCCGTCCTCCTTGTCGGGGTTGGGTGGGGGTGGTGGAGGGGTCATCTTCCCACAACTGTTCTTCCCTTTTTCTCTTTT